CCGTATCCCGCGATCGACTCGTACAGTCCAACCCAGTCGTCGCCGAAGTACTTTTTGAACCCAAGAATCGCCAGGAACAGCACCAACAGGCCGTTCGCCGTCAGCAGGAAGCCCATCACAGCGCCAGATCTGAAGGCAGCCGCGAAGGCCGCGCCAATGCCCTTCCTAGCCTGCAGGGCCGTCCTGGCATTCGCGTAAGTTGCGATCTTCATGCCCAGGAAGCCCGACAGGGTGGAAGTCAGTGCACCGAGAGCGAAGGCCACGGCGCTGAAGAATGCGACGGCAGTGCCTGGCGCACACATCTTCCCAGTGGGAACCTTGGCATCGCAAGGCTTCCACTCCCTCCCGAAGCCGTCGACGGATCCAAGGAAGACGAAGATGATAACAGTAAACAGTGTCATGAAGATGGTCAAGTACCAGTACTCCGTCGTCAAGAACGACACTGCTCCAAGGGAGATCGCCTCCTGAATGTCCGCCACCTTCGCAATCACGCTGGCATCCTCGAGCCCACCCTCATCCGCCATTAAATAGTCATCACCGGCCGCRGCCGATCGCACCGGAATYTTCGCGACCAYGGACCATTGYAGTATGGCAAACGCCATCCCAATGAGAGCTGCAGCTGGGATGAAAACCTGGGCTGCCCAAGGAGATACCAACGTGGCCCCCAACTCSCCGCCCATCATCGTACCCGAGTCAGCCATAGCGGTTTTCACCAGGCTGTCACTAAGGGCGCTACCTACACTGGCTACGGCGGCATTCGCCATGGCGGGAGCTAATCGACTCCCGCTGCTTTCTTCTTGGCCAAACCCACTGCGCTCTCTCTTCTCTCTCCTTGCTCAACCCCGCCGAACACGTGCCCTATAGTTTTCAACAGTGCTTCTCCCTCATCTCCCGTACCGCTATTGACGATTCTGACGGTTCTTGCGCCGCTATAACATTCTCTCCCAAGTTCCCAACTCCAGCAATGCTCGGCCGGCGCGCGGCCCTACTCCCCTGCAGCTTGGACTCCACAGCTATGGACGTCGATCTGCCTTAATCTATGGTCAGGAACGAAGAATCTGGGCTAGGTTTAGTGGGACTTCGCCCCCAGAGTCCCGATTCTCCGATGATTCACGGGAGCGATTCTTACTCTCACTGATCGTGCTGGCAACGTCTTAGCGGATCTCTTTGCGGACGCAGGAGGCAAGTACGCGGGCACCTGAATGCTGCAGAGAGACCGCCGCTGACTGATCCGCGGTCCAGAAGTTGCACTCCTCGCCATCCCCTAACATTTTGGATGCATCAGGACGAATTAGACTCCAGATGCATTCAAAATGCTGCCGGATTGTCCAGCGCGTCTACGACCTTAGCACGATTTCTCATATCTGAGCTTATAGAAGGAAAGATCGAATGCTCCAAGTCGAAGGCACTGGGAAAATAAAATAATAATAAAAAACCCGGGGAAAGGCCCCACTTGCGCAAATTAGGAGATGTCGGCCGTTGATCTTTGTTATCTACGGTCAGTATCTCTTAATTCGTGCAATTGGGACCTAGCCGCCGGGCACTGAGAAGTTGGTCCCGCCAATAATCAACAGCGGAGAACTTGAGGATCTTTTCAACAGAGAAGTTCGTCCCGCCAATAATCAACCGCATTCTACAAAAGACGGAAGAAACAAAAAGAAAGAAGAAAAATTGAAAATGAAAAACTGAAAAATCGTGGTTACGGCGCTCATCTTCTGTCGTGCGCGCTGCCATACGGCCTGGCTCCATTACTCTCGACATGCACAACAGACAAAAATCATGGCGGTGTATGGTTCCATGTTCTAGCGGAAGATTCAATCTCGTTTTGCACATGTCTAGAGTGGTGTGGGCTTCGCGCCGGCCTTGCTCGGCCACCGCGACAATTATAGGGCCTCGCTCCAAGCGCCAGCCTTGCTCCGCCACCGCTACAATCATCGCGCCTCGCTCCAGCGCACATCACTCTACATGTAACGTATGTGGAGGCTTTCAGCAAAAGGTGCATCCTGACGAGTCGAACATTTTGAATTTTCGTGGTCCCAAGTAGTGTGTTGTCTACTGGAGCGAGGCCCATCATGGGGCTCAAGCAGCATCACACAACAATTCACTGAAATGCACATAGGTAGAGTCTACTGTCAGATGCATCTAGACGAGCATCTGTGCGAATATGCCCTAAGAATTAGGGCCTCGCCGCACCACACCCTACTTGGGAAATTTTTCGGGAGGCTTCTGGGAATGGTTACAAGACACATGGTTGAGAGCTTACGGGGATTCTAACTTATGGACTCAAGACTTTGTGATTTCTGGGGTTACTACAGTAAGGAAAGGCAAGGCTGTGGCCTACAAATTTCCGTGGGATAGCCTTCTGGATTCTTTGGCTAGCACGCAGGGATAGAAGATTCTACTCCAAACCTACCTCTCAGACTGTTATCAGGAACCAATTTCAGTATTCGGTTCGCCTGCTAATATTAGCAGAGCTAAGGAAAAATTAGAGTCTCGGATTGTGGGAACAGCCCTTTACATGGGCAGGATTAGGGTCTGGCTCCACTACTGTCCACTGTACAAAAACGGACAGTTGTACTTCGCTCCACTTACTGTCCACTGTACATGTGCAAAATGGCTTGGACAGTTTTTAGAAACCCCGTCGGAAATCTACTGTCCGTGAATGTACAGCTCCCAGCCTGCAAAATTCGTTACACGGAAAGTCCTTCAAGGGACTCACCGTGAGGACCCGAATTTGGAGAGTGCCTGGAGTTTGGGCGGACAAAACCCTATGGACGTCCTGTCTTGTAGTGCTATCACTGTGTCTGGTAGTGAAGCCACGAATTTGAGAGGTGGACAGCGGACAGTAAGTGGAGCAATGTCGCATTTTCCACTGTCCGCTGTACAATTTTTCGCTCTGACAATTGTCCACTAACTGTCCGAAAAATTCTACAGTGGACAGTAGTGGAGCGAGACCCTTACTGGCTTCAGGCCAAGTGTACTTTTCCAGACTGCTGTGGGATGAACAATCTGTTATTTGAAAGTAAGTCCTTTTAGAAGTAGCGACAGCCAGAATTCTTACCCTTGTGTTAAGAGCTCGATCAGGGATAGTCAATTCAATAGACTGTCAAGAGGGGTAATCTGTCTGACTCTGCAAGGACTTACCCAAGCCTATAGAACTGTTCCTTCAAGAAGGACGCTGAACCTGGTTTCCCGCCGGTAGTCTGTTTTTTTTTCTGAGGACTTTGGACCAGTTTTCCAGATTGTTTACCCGAAAAGGACGCTGGACCTGTTTTCCAGCAACCCGGGTAGAATTGTGAGGTCCCCAGCCTCTGGTTCATGACATTTAAGATTAAACACAGATCTGTTTAAAAAAAAAAAAAAAAAAAACGCTCGGGAGTGCCTTTCGCCACACTACACTCTCGACCGGGTCGCGCTCAAATTCTGAAAATGGGTCTCGCTCCACTACTCTATACTCTCGAAATTTTGAGAGTAAGGCCTCGCTCCACTGACTCTAGATAGGTGCTCTCGAAAACGCCCTTCGAGAGCTGTCAGAAAGCACTCTCGAAGGGCACTCTCGAAGTGTCTAGAGTGCCCAGCCTGCGACGACATGCTTTTCCAGTGTCCTCCCTCGTACCCCCACTCGTACCATTTTTTTTCGTGAGTGCCCCTCGTGTCCCGACCATCAGAACAGGGCGGCGCTGTCTTTTAGTGCAGTCAAAGAGCTCGTCTGTGATGAGCCCAGACACGTACTTCGCGGCTCTCGTACCCTTGAGGATAAACCCTCCGAAAGCCCCGAAGTGCAAATACGAATGAAGGGGGGTTTCTTTTTGCTTTCGTTTTTGTTTCTCGCTTTTCTTGAAACGGCCTTTCTTTTTCTTTGAACTGGTAGCTGGGAATAAGTTTCGCGCAGCCGGATAGCGGGCGCGTCGAATTTCAAGAAACGGGTAGGACTTAGTGGGAAAGGAAATGGGGAATTTCGGATTTTTGCATGCGCGGATGCCTTTTTGAATTTTCGCGCGCCATGCAAACTCTTTCTCTTGCTTCGCATCCCCGCGCCATCTTTCTTTCTTGATGCGCGCGCTTTCTTCGTGCAAGGACTCTTCGTCTTCCTTTATGCAAGCTCGATCCCTGCCTCACCTTTGGCCGAGAACGATTGGCGGAGTAGTTGGGATGCTCGGATCAATGTGGAAGGCGCGAAAATGCGCGCACCACTTGAACAACCACCCCAATCACGCCGGACCAGAAGACTTCTCGACATCGACCCGTCCCAAATCCCAGCCCTTCCCTTGTCCGCCACATCTACAACCCCATGCTCCCCGCGCCTTGCGCCGCTGCCCCGCCGCCTCCCGTGCTATAAATTCGCGCAACCCCCTCCTCTCCCTCTCTTTGATCTCGACTGCAATGCTGCGCGAGCTATGCGCAAGGTCCGCCGCGCCGAACAGGCTCGACGAGCCCATGTGACGGGCGGAGTGACGACGCGGGTCGGGCTTAGCGGTGGGCTCGGGGTGTAACAGTCGAAGGGACAGAGCGGTGGTGGAGATCAGACGCCGGCAGCGTCAGGGCCTTGTGGCTATGGTTGTCGGTGGTCTTGATGGATTGGGGCTGCGCCTAGTTCGGCCAGCCGTGTGAAGACGTTTTTGGTACAAGGAGGACTCGCTTTTATCTCCATTCCTGCTTTGTCCACTCATGGTGTGTGTGAGGCCTCGAGTGGCGGGACCTTGTCGTATGCATGTGTGGTGTGAAAGTCCATGGATGATTGGATGTCCTGTTGATTGTTGTTGATTGCATGCATGTTGATGTATGTCCGTGCATACTTATCCGGGCGGGGACTGGGGAAGCGATTTGTGATGACCATCTGCTTAGGGGTATGATTGGGTTGATCCCGTCGCTCCCATCCCTTCCACGGCCCTTGGGTCTCTGACCCGCCCCGCTGCGCGCAAGCACAGCCCCAGCGTCGACTCTCTCTCTCTCTCTCTCTCTCTCTCTCTCT